TTTAGTGAAATTTGAGAAGAGAAGAGTCAAAACTCTACGTCAGGAAGCCTCACCAGAGCGATGAAGGGACTGAGGAGTAAAAGGAATTCCTAGCTCTCCGATATATATAATCCTAAATGACTCAAAACATTTTTCTAGACTCAATAACGGCTGCTAAAAACGATCAAGCAGTGGGGGCTCCTAAGGTCGGGGGAAGGCTCTGATTACCAACTTGTAACGCCCTCGATGCGGCTATATCTCCCACGTGTCGAAGCACGTCTTAGAGGCATAACCGCATTGAAAGCAATGTTGCAAGTGAGGTAATCTTCACACAACCCATGTAATACATAAGGGAAAGAGATACATAGTTGGCTTACAATCGCCACTTCACCCAATTACATGAATAAAGCATTACATCAAACAATACAATCAAGGTCCGACTACAGAACCAAAATAAAAGAAGACTACCCCAAATGCTACACAGATCCCCGATCGACCCCAACTGGGCTCCTCTACTGATCAACTGGAAACAGAACAACATAAAGGACAAGATCATCATCGAGCTCCTCCTTGAGCTTGGTTGCGTCATCTGCACGGTTCAACGGCACCTGCAAACTGGTTTTGGAAGTATCTGTGAGTCACGGGGACTCAGCAATGTCACACCCTCGCGATCAAGACTATTTAAGCTTATGGGTAAGGTAAAAGGTATGAGGTGGAGCTGCAGCAAGCGACTAGCATATATGGTGGCTACACATACGCAAATAAGAGCGAGAAGAGAAGGCAAAGCACGATCGAGAAACTATGATCAAGAAGTGATCCTAGAACAACCTACGCCAAACATTACTCCAACACCGTGTTCACTTCCCGGACTCCGCCGGAAAGAGACCATCACGGTTACACACGCGGTTGATGCATTTTTAAATAAGGTCAAATTCAGGTTTTCTACAACCGGACGTTAACAAATTCCCATCTGCCCATAACCGCGGGCATGGCTTTCGAAAGTTCAAATCCCTGCAGGGGTGTCCCAACTTAGCCCATCACAAGCTCTCACGGTCAACAAAGGAATAGACCTCCTCCCGAGACATTCCGATCAGACTCGGTATCCCGATTCTACAAGACATCCTCGACAATGGTAAAACAAGTCCAGCAACACCGCCCGAATGTGCCGACAAATCCCGATAGGAGCTGCACATATCTCGTTCTCAGGGCACACTCAGATGAGCAGTCCGTACAACTAAAACCAGCCCTCGAGTTCCCCGAGGTGGTGCTGCAAGGGGCTCTAGTTTGGACCAACACTCAGAGGAGCACTGGCCCGGAGGGGTTAAAATAATGATGACCCTCAGGAGCGCGACTCCCAAGGGAAAAAGAGGCTAGGTGGCAAATGGTAAAACCAATGTTGGGCATTGCTGGAGGAGTTTTATTCAAAGCGAACTGTCAAGGGGTTCCCATTATAACCCAACCGCGTGAGGAACGCAAAATCCGGGAACATAACACCGATATGACAGAAACTAGGACGGCAAGAGTGGAACAAAACACCAGACATAAGGTCGAGCCTTCCACCCTTTACCAAGTATATAGATGCATTAAATTTAATAAGATATATTTTGATATCCCAACATATAAGCATGTTCCAACAAGGAACAACATCTCCATGTTCCAACAAGGAACAAACTTCAATCTTCACCTGCAACTAGCAATGCTATAAGAGGGGCTGAGCGAAGCGGTGACATAGCCAATCAACGGTTTGCTAGGACAAGGTGGGTTAGAGGCTTGGTTCAACAATATGGGTGGCATGATAAGCAAGTGGTAGGTATCGCAGCATAGGCATAGCAAAAGAGCGAGCAACTAAGCAAGCAAAGATAGAAGTGATTTCGAGGGTATGATCATCTTGCCTGAGATCCCGCAAGGAAGAAGAACGAGTCCATGAAGAAGACAAACGGACGTAGTCGAATGAATCCTCACAACACGACGTTATCGGAACCAACCCGAAGAAGCAACACCGGAAAGAAACAAACAATCATGGTGAACAAACATCACATAAGCATGGCACGATGCGCAAACAAGTATGATGAATGTCCTGTTTAATGATAAATGGCATGGCAAAATGCACAAGCAATACTATAAATTAAGTGGAGCTCAATATGCAACTCCGTTGCATATTGACGAAACACCACGTGACTTATTAAGTTCGATCTTGTTTATGTACCCAACAATATTAAATGTTGTTAAACATGGCAAGTGGGTGAAGCAAAGAAAACTACCTATCTAGTCAAGTTTAAATGAGGCCGGAAACAACGAACAACAATTTCCGGAAACTCCTCATATGCATATATTAGGTTTGGTACTGTTCTGCCCTAAACCATATTTTATAGTTGTTAAACATGCAAAGTAAAGCCACCATGTTAAACTAGGCATTTTCCCACCCCATTTACATATAAAGTTTATTAAATTCAAAGTTACGGTTATTTAGTTATGAATTAAAGCATTTTAACATGGCATAGGAGCAAATTTAATCAAACACCATTTTAAACATTTCAAACATAGATGAAAGTTGCACAATATGAATCTACACAAAATTCTAAGCATGTTTCATATATAGAGTTTTTACATATGATGCATTATTTATAAGTTTTATATGCATGAAGACTAGGTTTTTTTTTGTAAAACCGTAAACTCTGGATAATTACTAAAATCACTGGACAGGAAAAAAACATAGCGGGCCGGATCTGGCTGGCCCAACCGAAACAGGCGCTGGGGAAGGCTGCTCACCCATGGGCCCCTTGGGCCGGCAGGAAAAATAGAGGAGGCATGGCGTTGGGCCTGAAGGCGATGCAAAGGGCCCATATGCACTACCGCTCGTCCTCCCTGCTCGAGCGGGCGCAGAAAACAGAGGAGGCGGCGCACGGCATGGCAGCATTCATCGACGGGTCCCCGGGGCGCGGACCAGCAAGGAGATGACTGGAGGAGGTAGATCCGAGCACGGGACGACAAGGGCAACCGGATCTGGGGCGGAGATGGCCGGCGGCGTCGACCTACGAAGGGCACATAGAGAGAGGCCATGAGAGAGCAGAGAGACGGAGAGGGAGTGACGAAGAGAGAGGAGGGCAGGGAAGGCGGCCTGGTTCTGGTGGTGCTCCGACGGCTCTGCTGGCCGACGGCGAGGGCTCATCTGCTGGTGGAGGCGCGGCTGCAGGGTGGAGGAGGTGCTGGGCATGAGCGAGGCCGGCGAGGCGGCGGCAGGAGGGCTCCTTGGATGCCATGGCTGGGCGCTGCAGTCACCGACGCGGACGGCAGACGCACGGCGGCGCAGCAGGGGCACGACGGGAACGACGCGGGAATGGAGGCAGCGACAGGGATCTCCGGTGGCGGAGCTCGACGCGTAGGCCGGCGGTGACTTCCATGACGCCGGTGTGCTCCTGTGAAGAGAGCAAAGAGAGATGAGGTGAGGGGAGAACCAGAGAGGGAAAAAAGGATGAAGGGTGAGAGAGGAACAAGGAGGGTCCATGGCAAGCAATTCCTGCTGGTGCTCGGCGTCGAGGTTCGCCGGGGCAGAGAAGGAGCTCCTCTCCTTTGGACTTGAGCGAAGCAAGGAGGAAGAGGCATCGGGAGGGAGAAGAGCTCGGGCACGGGGCTGCGTGGATGGATTGGATCTAGGTGCGGCTGATGGTTGGTGTAGGGGGAATGAGAGGATCCCAAGGTGGGGAATGAGTGCGACGGCGGCTGGGAGGATCCCTAGGAATTAAGGATTTGGTCTAGGTTAGGCTAATATATATAGCAAGTGGGTTGACTTAGGGGTATATCGTCCCTCCGATCGCAATCGAATGATCGCGAATAAAATAGCTAGGAAGTCTAAATAAGAAAACGGAGACGTTTTGTAGATGTTTGGGAATGATCCGGACACAACGGTGATGACTGCTCGGGTCGGATCCGGGACAACTTTCGGACGCGCGCGAGGGGGGCTGCGGGCTGATGAGAGAGGTTAGGTTGGACCTGGCGGTAGGTAGTGAGCTGTGTAGACGGTCTCGAGCTGAGAGAAGAGAAGAGAGGGATGCCCGGCGACTGTTTCCGGAGACCGAAAACGTCCGACGTTAGACCGGCTACTATTGCCGCTATATTTAACGGTTGGACTATCAAACGAACTCCGAATGCGATGAAACTTGACAGGCGGTCTATCTACACTAAAATAAGACCACACGCCAACTTTCAACCCATTTCGAGAACATTTTCCGGTCACTTATAAAATACTATTTCGGACATGCCGCGGGCACGTGCAAGTGTGTCTGGGCTCAAAACGGACAACGGACGGAACTGGGGGAACCCGAACGGATGCAGGTTTTGAAAACATGATGATGCAATGCACATGATGACAAGATGAAATGCAACACGCAAGCAAATGACATGGCAATGACAACGAATAACTGGAAGACACCCGTCACATCGGTCTCGGGGCGTTACAAAACTGATCTTGTAAAAGTACCTAGTGGAATCATGATTTTCAATCTCAAACAAACAACACAAAAGAGGAAGATAGAAGATTTAGGAGAAAACTGTTCATTAACATCTACTAGCTCTGTTTTTAAATGTAAGACGTTCTTACATTTAGAAACAGAGGGAGTATGTAACAGCTTTTTGTGGCATTTCTGTTGGAAAGACTGCAATGCTTTATTATCAAAATTCAGCATCATAATTACTTCTATAATACTGAAGAAATTAGTCACTTGCTGTATACACGATATAGTACTGTACACGATAGATTCGGCTTAGCATTGATGCTCCCGTGGATTATTCTCTGGATAGAACAACCACATGAGAACCGAGTAGTGTCTGGTTGGTTCGAGCACATGCGGATGAGCTCGCCCACCCGCGTTCGAGCAGCAGTCTCCGTTTCGTGCCTCATTTCTATCTAACCACGTACTCCGTATAAGGGAGGGGAACTTTCACGTTATTTTTTTTAGAATAACCACACCTGAGGACAGAAGTTTGCCTTTTTTTTTTTTTCCTTTGGAAGGAAATTTGCGTCTTTATCTGCTCGGAATGTTGATAGCGACATCTTTCTGAGTTTTTTCAGGCTTCTTGAAGTGGCCAAGCCGTGCTAGATTGTCAGCGGTTTCTGCAATTTTCACTATTGTCGTAACCAAGTCTGAGAGAAGTGTGGCAGTAACAGCCACATGCATCACTTGCAACAGGGCTGCTTCCTCTGACAATTCATTTCTGAGGTCTTTTGCAGCTTTGATGGCTGCGGACATGGCGATGTTGGCTGGACATGGTACGATCATTGTCCGAATGGCCGTTGATAGCTCCTTGAGCGCCTTAGCAGAGTGCGAGCTCATTTCCCCGCACGCCGTTCGGACCTTCAAGGTTAGCTCTGGATTGGCCTCAGGGTACTGTTGATCAGGAAAATGGTGTCGGTCAATATCTTGGCTCCATAGTCTCCGTTTAATATCATGAATTGGGGGAGAATCTGCAATTACCTGGGACTTTTGCAGTGTGATGACATAGGAAGCAAGAGCCTCCATTGAAGACGCGCACTGACGACAAAGAGCTCCGAGCTTCTGGTATTGGCTCCATGGGTGCCGGAAGCCGAATTTGCCATGACCGGGCTCCCACTTGGCAAAATTGCACTGCAATTTTCAGAATAACATTACAAAAACTGCTATGTATGCAAGCTGTCTTGTTGCAGATGTTTATTGTAGCTTTTGCACTCGGCATATAGTGTAGTGTATCATCCGTAAAGAAGCTTACCAGGGAGTCCTCACTGGCCTTGGAGTTGAGGACGCTCTTGTACACTTGTAGAAAGGCTTTGCCCTCCAAATTCTCGCTGGCAGCCTTTTCTCCAAAGCATTCAGATTCCAATCCTGCGTACGTATGCTCACTTTTCAGCCTCGCAAACTCTTTGTATCAATATGAATTTGCTACAGAGGTTCTACAGGGGAGAAGCAGAGCTATAAAACAGAGTATGAGTATGTCTGGTGACTGGTCAGGAAAACTCCACTGTTTGATGTTCCCTTTATTTCTCTTTCTTTCCAAAGAACACATTACCTTACGTACTTGAAGGAGACTACGGCGAGAGTGACCAAAAAGTGCAGGAATCTTTCTTTCTTTTTTGATGACAAAAATTGCAGGGATTTTTTATGAGTATATATATTACCTTGAAGAAACTGTGCCAGCTTATCGAGGTTGCCTGCGGTGAGCTTGTGAAGATCCTCGCCGGCCCAGACAGGGAAGACGAAGATGGTGGTGCAGAGGCAGGTAAGGACGCCGATGACGATGGTGGAGAAGCGCTGGTGTGCCAGCTGAATAAGTTCCTCCACGCGGTAGCTCGACACGGCCACCAGGCTGAAGGTCAGTATGAAGATGGTCACGCCGTAGTCATACCTCGCCTTGATCTCCGGGATGAAGCGCGAGAATGTTGCTGCCGACGCTGCAATATAACCAAGTTTCGTTAGGGTATTAGTTCTCTTTGTCGGTTCAAACCGCAGGTCCACTTTTTTTTTTCCGGTATGGTATCCGGCTATTGAGGCGTCGGTACTCACTTCTCTGACAATATATGATGGTAGAGACGGCTTCAACAATAAGTATATATACTCCTATATGTGAATGAAAACACAAGATCTTTGATTAGATCATGTCGATGCGTGCCTGCTTCGTATCCTTGCCGTAGTTGGTGGATCGAAGCTCAGCTTGGGGATGAAAAATCCAAGACTGGCCTATGGTTAGACTCCATCACTGAAAGCTTTCGTCTAGGAGTTGTGTAATTTTTGTTTGTTTATGTCTTTTACTATGTTGTTTTTGGGGTCAAATTTATTCAGCTGCTGGATTCTATATATACGGTTGTGTGCATTATTCGATCAGAGCCTGCCAATTTCTTGCTTTTGCATGCATGGCGGCAAAATACTTCTATCTACGTAGCTAGTAGTAGTAAGACAAGTCCAAGTATACTAGTAGTTGGAACATGCATGTTTTTAGTCTAGTTGCATATGCATGCGTACCTAGCAAGAAGACGAAGATGGCGAGCAGTATTGGCTCCCCCTGCGCACCACAGCGGTTAGCTACCTGATGAGCTCCCACGGCGATGAATCCAGCCACAAACGTCGCGAAGGCTCTATTCAAGCCTTTGCTCAGCGTGCCACCTGTTGCATGCACGTACGTCAGAGACTTGCATGCCCTTGACACCCACATATACAGTACTTTCTCTGTCCCGAATTTTTTGTCGCATAAATAGATTAAAAAAATGTATCTAAAACTGAAATATGTATACGACAAGTAATTTCGGATGCAGGGAGTACAACTCAAGTCATTTGTATGTAATACGCACCGACGGTGTACTCCATGACAACGACGACGGTGAGCACGGCCCAGAGCGTGGAGACCCCGAAGCCCTTGAACAGCGGCGTCACGTAGTACAAGACGGACACCAGAGTGAGCGCCAGGCCGACCTTGAACGAGTGCGCCACCCGCCTTGGATCCTCCCTGGCGATCCTGCCCACCTTCCTGGCGAACCCCGCGACCCAGCAGCAGAGCCCGACGAGCACCGAGCGGAGCCGCAGCCAGCAGCCCGCGAAGAACACACCGACAACGCCGGCTTGTCCGGTCATCGTCTCGCCGTCGCCGCCGCTCACCCTGATGCGGTGATCAACCTCCATGGCAGAATGAGAATGGTGGTGGATATGCAGCTAGTTGTGCTGTGTTTTGTGAAGCAGCTAGCTTATTGTGTGTGAGTGAGTTGGGCAGGGAGGCTATGGCTCGGAGGGCTTATATAGACGCAAGGGAACGCCAGCTGCATGCGGACGCTTTTCTGGACCGCGACATGTATCTCGTATTGCGATGCGACACACAGGGCCCCCGGGCCGGGTCGATCGGTATTCGGTAGTGGAACAAAAAGCGTAGCATGGCGCCATCGACTTTCTCGGAGAACACGACCGTCCCGGGATCTTGCCCTTGTCGTGTTTGGTTTCGTCTCGTCTTCTCCGTCTCCGACGTTGCTCTGGTCCATCGGCTGCGGCCGCTCCTGCTCTGCTTAGGGTCAGTGAAATGATATGAGGAAATGTGTGTATTCATTCGATCGATTGCGTTTTTAGCTGTGCGTCATGCTTTGAAATGGCAGCAAGATCGTCACTCCGATCGACATGTGTTGGATAAGTGCGTGTGTATATATGAACTTTCTTTCGAAACGGATATATGAACTTTGCGTTGGTGTAGACAGGTGTGCCTTTAGCTTGGGCGTGTTTGTTCCAGAAACTCTCGATAACTTGTCATTTGCATTCATGTTAATGTTATTATATCCCACGTGTTGCGTTCTTACGTATGGCCACTCATTCCGTACCTCCGTACGTACCTCACGATCGACACATCACCCATCGCGGTAATTAGTTTAGTTTATCTATTATCTGCTTTTTTGGACTCGAGGAGAATGAGAGCGGTGTCGGATGAGGTGAAAATGAAACGCAACTTGCCTTGTCGGATGAGGAGTACGCGTGAGTTATTTTGCCCGGGCCGTACGTGCTGACCCCATGGTGGTCTACCTCTGACTTTTGATCAAAGGATAAAGCAGCGGAGCACCGCGCCCAAAAGTAGAGCATTGCCGTTGTTGTATTTTTTCCTATTCTTTCACGTTTGTGACATGTAAAGGAAGTCGTTGCTTCATTTGAAAACACAAAAGCAATTTGATGACTCGCTGTATACACCATTGCTTGTCTCCACTCTCTCTAGCTAGCTAGCTATCATGCATCAAGAGGTGGCCTGACTTATCAATCTATCCGCTTTTTTCTGAATTTTTCGGTGGATCTCAACTACGGCTTATCACGTTGAATGGGAGCTCTTGTCCTCTTCTTCAACCACGCACGCGCTTCTATTTTCTGACACCTAGGGATGGAAATTGATGAACTCGGCCGTGTTCGATGCATGTAGACGTGCGTGTATCTGTATGACCTTGTCATCCTTCGTCAAACTCTTCCCTCCACCGTTCGCGTGAAGCTGACCGCGCATCCTTACCGTACCGTACCGCACCGTACCACCGCTGCTTCTCTTGTTTCTTTCTGCACGTAGGCAGCATATATCCTGTACGGACTCAACCAGCTGTTTTCCGGTGTTGCTAGTCCCAGTCACCGACTCAGGCCGAAACTGATCCACATCCATAGTGATTGCAACTGTTCAGATACCCGTATACCATAGCAGCTCATAACGGACGCATCACTGTTAGTCCCTCTGTCCAAAAATACTTGTTGAAGTAATGGATACAAATAGATGTATTTAAAACTTCAATACGTCTAGATACATCCATTTCTCTTGATAAGTATTTCCGAACAAAGAGAGTAGTATTTGATTGCAGCACGGTGGCTCTCTTGCTCAGTTTTTTTTATAAGGTAAAACTTTATTTCTCAAATAATGGCAACATCGTTTACAATGAGGTCAGAAATAAAGTCTAGGATAGCACCTTTCCAAAAGTCTGAAGATCTGCTAGCTAGAGATGATTTAGCTATACAATCAGCTACACAGTTTGCTTCCCTGGGCAGTTACTTACTTCATACTTCGCATAATCCAGACCCATCTCTTTGCTCTCAAGAAGAGACCAAGGAGAGTTTCAGAGTTGAGGGCACACACTGCATTTGAGCTATCCGACTCGATGTGTATAGAATGTTACACCCAATCTTGGCTGCCAGATAGAACCCATTCCGGATAGCAATCATCTCTGCCGCATCCACGGACACTACATGTGGTATGAACCAGGAAGCAGCCGCTATAAAGTCACCATGTTCATCTCTTGCCACTGTTCTTGTGCCTGCAGCCATATTTTCGGGGCTAAAAGATGCGTCGACATTAATTTTAACCACTCCTCTCATTGGTTTGTATCACATGTGATCATGTTTAACCATCAGCTGGTTTGGTGTTTGTGAGCGGATAAATTTCGTCGCTAGAACTCGTATTAATATAGCAGTTTGGTGCGGCTCTCGGACTGTCTCGCCCTTAACAATTTGTCGTCGTTGGCACCAAATATACCATCCTGCCACCGCAGCTAACTCGGCGACAGATAGAGTGTTTTTTGAATCGTGACGCTCTATAAGGATAGCCAGAGTGAATGCGCCCGAACGGTCCTCCGCTACAATTTTCTGAACTTCAGCCTCGAGACCCAGCTCCTTCCATATATCCTTCGCCCTCTTACATGTAAACAAACAGTGCTGAGCATCCTTAAATCCTGATTGGCATATCGGGCATTGTCCCGTAACTGGTATATGCCGGCTAGCTCAGTTCTTGGTGCATGCAGCTAGCTGCTGCCAGCTAAAATCAATACAAGGGACCGAGTTTCACAAAAATTACGGAAATGCTCAACCTCTACACAGCTGACACGCATAGGCTCTGAACCTTAGCGACGGTAGCGCCGCTCCGCCGTTAGTTTCACCTTTAGTTCTCCTGTCACCGGCAATATTCGCCTTATCCTGGCTGGCTGCTGAATGCTGAAGTAACTTCAACTCAGTCTCTCACATCACACCTGGCTCTGGTTAAGTTGTTAACAGCATCGAGATCGAACGGAGGGGACGTACGACAGGATCGGAACACGGAAGTGGGGAACATTCGAATAACTGTTCCATCAGCAGCCAGGAGGCCCGGACGACCTAACATGGCACAATCGGAGAATATGTGCCGATATGCTTCCCAAGGTACGGTACGTTCCCAAAATCCAAGTGCGTGTGCACCTGGGGTCTCTGAGGATCGATCAAGGAAATCGCACCAGGGCCACCCATATCTAAAGCAGAATCATCACCACACATACGCATTACTTTTACTGACTATTCAACTCTTCTTTTCTCCCTTAGAGCATCTACAGGCGGCCGTTCCAAACCCGTTTTGAACACCCGGGAGGATGGCCCGGTCACAAAAATTTAACTTAGATGGGCGCCTCAAACTCCTGTGCTGACCGACATCCCTCATATCCAACCCAAATATGAAACAAATATGGTGTGCCTGGACGCGTCCGCATGTCGGACTGACGGCGTGTCCATGCCGAATCGCCCGAAAACCCGAAGGTCTGATGATCGTCTCCTCCGGTGGAGGGTGTGAACGCAGCGTGGCGCCGGTCTGGCTCGCCGTCCGAGACCAAATCCGGCTATTTAAGCCGTCTGGCGTCCCCAACCCTAGCCCATCCACCTCCTCCCTCTCCGTGCCGCCAGCCGGAGCCCATCCACCTCCTCTCTCCCAGTCCGCCGCTCTTTCCATGCTCTCCAGCGTCGCCACGGGCACGAAGATAGTGGACATCTCCGACAAGGACTAGGGTAGTTGATCTACATAGTATGTGATTTTTTTTATTTACATGCTTTTGTATGGATTTAAGATTTCTATTATAAGGTATTCAGATGTAGATTAGAAAATTCAAGGGTTGACCGGTCGTGTTCGCGGGCGTTTGAGAATTCAGATTTGCCTAGTTCAGCTGCGGATGCTCTTGCACTTGTCCAAGTAAAACCGCGGGGGTGTAGAAGGAAAGCGAAAGACAGTTTCTTGTGCGCGGGTCGCATGTGCGAGCTGAGCTAGTGACCTTGGATTTGTAGGCGCGCGCAATATTTATGAGACGCACGAATGATGAACTATGGAAGGCGCCGGGAAGGCCAGTCGGGGGGAAATGAAAATGTCCTTAGTGGATGCGCCTTTGTAGGCACGAAAGGGATCCTTTTCCCGACACTGATAGGGAGGGCTTCATCTTTGCCTCCATCGTGCATTCTATTCATGGCCTGTGCTGTGAACTTGGCCGTACTTCTTGCCGCCCGCCTTTCCGCCTGTCATGCACGTACACCGTCCTCCTGTGCTTTCTAGCGAGAAGCATTCTAGCTGTCGAGCTAAAATCGTGGATTTGCACTGTTCTGTTCTTGTGGAAGAAAGAACGGTCCTGATCTGTCTTGGCGGCTGCACTTGTTAGGTCGGTCAGGCATAGCGCGTACATCGTGCAGTGCACTTCCTATATGATCTGAAGAAACAAAAATAATCTAGGCGAACTAGTAAGTACTAGGAACTAGATGCCACGATCGATCAGTAATCCGCCTCCTTTTTTCTTGCTTTTTACACAGAGAAAGAGAATATCACGCACTAGCTAGCGATGAGAACCGTGCGTGGTACGGGAGGCTCACTACAGCTTTCCGACAAGAACATGTGGTGGCCACAGTAGGGCTGAGAAGTCGACCAAGATCGAACTCCACTTCTCTCAGCCGGGAGCGCCAACGTACGTACGTACGTACACGCAGCGCCTTGTTGCTCCATGACATTCTGTCCGCATTTTATCTCAAATCCAGGAGTCACAGCTCACCTTTCGATCCTCTGGCTAGCTAGCTTGCAAATCGTGGATGTGCATGCAAGATGATGCAGAGCAAGTTGTGCCAGGGAGCCGCTGGAGCCACAGGCGTCGCATCCTGAACCGCGCATGCATGCAGTAAGTAGTACGAGTACGTGCTTGCCTGCTGGAAGAAGATGCGGCTAGCGGTGCCGATTTCGACCGGATTTAGCCGATGCATGCAGGGGATAGCGCACTCCTTGGGAATAAAGGGGGGTCAGCCAACTCGTCGACTAGGTAACTTGACATCCCTCGCTCATCAAGTGGAGGGGATCAATACCCATCACCTTGTGTAGACGCTCGCTCGCTAAGAGCATCTCTAGGGGATTC